GAGAGCATTGTCTGAGCAGTAACAACAGCTTGGAACTGCAAGTAAAGAAATGGATAAACTGGCAGGGCTAAAATTTAACACATGTTTGCTCAGTGCTCATGGACCAAAATGGCATTTTATGACCTTTGAGACAATTGTCGTTTACGTAATAGAGCAAAAAACTAAAATGTTTGCTCATCAAAATTCATCGAGGAGCCGAGTACCACTTTGAAACATGGATCTACTGTATCTAAATTCAATTGTTTCTTGTAGATGTGATGTCCCATAAAATTTGCCTGAACGGAACTTTTTCAAATACCTTTTTATAGATCGTTGATTGTACTGAACAACTTTCTATGTTCATTTGGCATCTGGATAGCAAGACGGGTCCCATTGTAGACCTTTATGAGAAAATATAACCTACTTTTTAAGGTCAACATTTCAAGCCTAAGCATGTAGGATTCACAATCAAATAATAGGAACTCGCACAGATAATTGTAAATTACTTTATTTTAGCTCGAATTAGTTTTCGATGAAAAGACTTTTTGGGTGTTTTGTATGGATTTTATTTTTACTGAATCATTGCTTCAGTGAAAGTAGCAAAAATAAAATTATTCTAAAGTAGCTTGTCAGTCCTTCTTGGCATCACAGATCATACATTCCAATCTGGAGACCGTGGCATAGTTGTTATCGACCTTAACATGTTGTATATACAGATAAGGAGCTGAAAGAAACTGTTGACAAGATCATTGGGTGTGGATACCTTGAAAACATACCAACTCATTCTGAAAATGGTGATACTGAACCTGAGAAAGAAGAAGGTAATTGTGACTTCCAATTTTGCTACAACATCTTAAAACTTATTTATCACTTGCTCTGTGGCAGCATTTCACTAAAATAGTTGCTCACAAGATTGGAAAAATTGTATGCGTCTGTACAATGGAACAGATTGTAAACATAACAAATGGAACTCCACTTGTTTCATGTCATGTTTGGAAATTATGATTTCAGTTGCTGTGGAGACAATCGAGGGAGATGAATATGTTGTGGTGGAGTCGGAAGAAGTACCAGAAGCTGGTGCACCAGAGGTTAGTAAATCCCAGAAATACAACTTCCTCATTGAAGATGTCGCTAGATTAATTCATCAGGCACATTTGGAGTAAAATTTGTCCGTCCTGTGTGTTAATTTTAAAATAATAGTAATTTTGATCTATTGTAATTATACCAGTTATTATTTTTTCCCAGATTATGTCATCCCTACCCCCAGAGTTGCCAACTGTGATGATGGAGGAACCAGTCATGCCACCGTCTACTAATGGCCCTTTACTGTCAGAGTCCGTTATCGTTAAACCACACAGAGATGTTACCGAAGTGTTGGCTTCCGTACAGGGAGACTTCAACTTTATGCAGGAATCGATGATTGATTTTCAGTGTAAGTATATTTTGTAGAATTTGCCCCCTAATCTCTCAGATAAGTTTAAAACAATTATTTTTACAAGCACCTGCAAACATTAACTGATTAGAAAAACTGTTATCTTCATATTGATATTCTTTTCAACATTGTAATATTCCTTTGAACATTGCCAGTGGTGGATGTTTCAACTTTGCACACTTAAGTCTGCTGAACACTGCTCAGATTCACAATAAGGAGAACAAAAGCATTTCTAAAAGAGATTTATATTTGAAAATGAGGTTAGATTTTGAGGGAAATAGTTGCATGAAATATGAAAATGGTGATTATCCTACGTGCATTTCAAATTTGAACACTTTGAATGATTTTTGATCACATGCATTCAAAATTATTGTGAATTCAATCTAAACGTGACAGTTCTTGGACATCCCTTCGCATACTGCCCTCTCCATTAGTAAACATTTTACGTACATGATGACTTTGGGTTTATAGAATTCATTTGAATGTTAAAGTTGACATACAGTGTATATGTGGTATGTTGAAAATTTAGCATACCAAGTCAGTGCAGTAAACATAAAAAAAAAAATTGGATATAAAGGGATCAATATGCAATTCTCACACTGAATGAGCTGAAATCTTTTTGAATAGTGTCACTTTGTTCCATGCATTAGCATCTCCTTTGGATTATATATATATATATATAAACTCTTTTATAACAGCTGCCTTTGTGTTTTTGTTTTCTATACAGCACCGCACATGGACCCAGCTGTTGTTGAATATGCCACATCACAGCCTATGTTATCACAAAGTACACAATCAGCAATACCACAACAATCTCAGCTTGGTAAGAAAGCAATTTGTGTAATATTTCTATAAATATAAATCAAGACTTTGTTACGTTCCATCAATAGATCCTTTTCATAACTCTGGAGCCTTCAGTTTCCTGTGAGTGGGGCCTTTCAGGGGATCTCAGAAAGAGGCTCTTGGGGTCTCTTTCTGAGTTCACCTGAAAAAACTGTAAGGTCTCCAGATTTATGAAAAGGGTCTATTCCTATCTTTCTGTACAGTGGGTTGTGGTGATATAAACATAATATAAATGTAATATAATAGAACATGGATATGCAACTGTCATATGTTTGTTGATATATTGTCTATCCTTGTACATTGCATATCAAACAATTTCCAATTTTGACACCCATTGTAACTTTACAAAAATAAGTAAGAAGTCACAATTATGTATTTACAAAGTAAAAGAAATAATTAAATTTGTTATTGCACTGAACTTTTGAATGTGCAAAGCATGTACAACGATTTGAAGAACATTAAAACGAGTTGCTGCGAAATGTTGCATGTAACGCCAAGCTCAGCAAATTGGAATACAATGCGCAACAGATGTTGCACAGAAAACCCTTACATTTCCTTTGATGTTTGCCCCCAGTTGCATGTTTGCATTTTTTCCAACGTGAATGATATAACTGGGGTTGCCACATGTTTTTTCTATAAAGTTGACACCTCTTGTGTGTATTACTTTGCAGATCCAACACATTCTGTCAGTGCCCAACTGGAACAGATCACTAGGTCCGCAAGTCTAGATAAATTAACACAATCAAGTAGCGCACTAGAAACGGCCATGCTTACGTCAACTCTTTCTGCTCAAGAATGTCTAGTATCACAGGAACAATATACGAACGCAGCATCAAGTACTGACCACAGTTCATTGCAACAGCATTCAACGTTAGCGCAGTCGTTAGCATCAACACAAACTCATACAACCCAAAGTCAGAGTATATCGCAAACACTGCCCTCACAGTCAATGACAGGTAAGATTAAAATGCCTAGTATACTACGTATTGTTTACCCTAGTTTAAAAAACTTTTTGACGGCCGTAGAGATATTATGCAATTGCAACATTGAATTATAAAATTGTTGTTGCATATCGTAAAATGATTACAAACATCAGTTGTTTTCAAAAGATTTTTTTGGATACGATAATGATAATGATGACTAATTTGTATTCTTCTTGTTTCTCCTTGACCAAAATAATGATTAGGAATCTATTCTTTTAAATAACCAGGTGCTAGTCAGATGAGTGAACAGAGTCAGCTCGGTGAATCGTTATCATCACAGCTAACATCACATTCTGCCTCCGTGCAAACAGTTACGAGTATGGCGTCGCAGGATACAGACCTTTCTCAGGGCATGGCCCTAACACATGAACAATCGCAGCAACAACAGACGCAAGAGCAAACGCAACCACCTCCCAAAATGAGCAGTCAGATCAATGTCAATGCCCCTCCATTCCAATCGATGACATACATGAGGCAGCAACAGCAGCAATTGCCCACTTACGAACAGCAGGCTGCGGCACAGGTGGTGACGTCACAACCTCAACAGCTTGAATATGCTGATCCGAATATGGGGCAGGCAGAGTATTTCAACCAACAACAGCAAGGACTACAGGACAATCAGCATGAGCAGCAGATGACCACACAGACTGGAGAGCCCCTTTCTGGTAAGTCAGGATTACATTCATTTGGTTAAAAAATAGACACTATAGAAGAGAGATAGAAACAAAAGATAATTGAAATCTTCGCTGTACGATCTAGCTTGTAATCTGTAATTTATGATTAGACTAAATTTGGGTTAAACGAGCCACCATGATGTACATTGTTGGCACAATAAGTACGCCATTTTCCCAGTTTCCATTTTTCTGCCAAATAGATATTAGGGCGCGTACCTCTTCGTCAAGCCGGAAATTGTGTGAAATTACCAACGGTGTTGTTTCGCCATAATTGAAATAAGAGGTTACTTAAAACGATTTTGGCTTTGATAGTTGGGCCATGTCGAGCCTCAACCCTGTCGGAGTTCAACCCCAAAGGTTTATTAGAGCCGAACTTGGTTTGAGTCGTACGCATATACACAGCCATTTTTGCTGGCTCAAGCCATAGGCCAGTGATAAAATGGTGTCGTGTGAACGTTGCAATAGTCTATGGTTTAAAACAAATCCTCTCCCAATTGTGATCAACTACTAAAAAATATTTCTATTGCCTTGTGATATACGTATTTACCATAATTTTAATGAATAGATCAGATTTGTTTATTTTGTGCAGATTAATTGGCAGAGATTTTGTTGATGTGTTGATGGTCTTTATCACATTCTGTGTTTTCCCTTTGTAAATTTTTTGCCATTTAAAAACTGCGTGTAAGGTCTTAACATAGTTACTGACTTGCTTAATGTTGTCTTGGCAGCTCCTGGTGGCTATCCCCATCAGCATACAGGCATGCAACAGCATTATCAGCGAGGTGGCTCACCCAGCGGACGTGGTAATGGCCGTGGTGGACGTGGTACGAGAGGCATGGGTAACAACAGTTATCGCGGCTCTGGACGTCCATTCACCCGTGGTAATGGTAGATTCCAATATAGGGGTGAGCCTGTGTCATATGTTACATAGTGGGGAGTATTCATTATTGTGGCTGTGGGGTGGGCTTCACCATGAAGGTGTAACATATGCTTTTAAAACAATGACACTGGCTTAGATAGATTTACATTGTCTTAGGTAAAAAAGATTAGACATAGATAATATGTATTAGATGATAGTCAACATTTTCTGATTTTATAAGATTCATTTTTAATAATGCTGCAGTTATGATCGTTTGTACATTGCATTAGTGCATTACATGGGGCAGTATCAATCATGGTCTGTGATAACAGATTGTAGTACTCAAGCGGAATAACAAATTCCTGATATTTGGTACAGTAAATTGTACATTGTGTTACAGTGAAAATCACCAGAGACTGAACAACTAAATACACTAAAGCATGTCATGTGTGTTTCAGTTTGAACAAGTGTGATTCAGCTTTCGTTTTCACAAAATGGTAGAGCTAAGCAATGCTTATTTCCTGTTTCACTGACTATACCGTGTTCGTTTCTCTTGGAAGTGCCTCTCCTATAAAAGTGCATGTGAACAATCAGTTGCATTCAATTGTGTACTCGCTAAAATATGACTAAAATAACATATTTAGCATTGTGCCTAGTTGGCTGATAAGGACACTGTGTAACATGCGTCTAATTTTATCTTTTCAGGTGGATATTCATCATATCAGCCAAGAGATTACCAGTCTGCTTATCCACCGCAAGACAGGTCACAATATGGTGGGTATCCTCAAGGTGGTGGATACAAAGGTAGAGGTGGTGTCCCATCACGAGGTGTACCACAAAGAGGTAAGAACAATTTCTTTGAATATCTAAGTTCAGTAACCAATATTGTTGACAATACTTATGGTAGGTTTTTAGGCATCGCACAGCACTGCAAATTACCCATAATTCTCTGGCTCGTATTATGTGCCACTAATTTCTCTAAAATTTTTATTGGTATACTACTTTGGACCCTATTAAATTCTTGTATTTGATTTTTAAAAAATGCCTTTTGCAATATGTGATCAGAATGTCAAATTTAAGTCTGGCTAAAAGGATTTTCTAAAAGTTTTAAAATGCTGTCAAGTCTTTGGAAAAGTACAAAAAGTACTCATCCTCATCCCCTTGCATGGTGTTGCTAGATGTTGATCTTTCAATGTCATCCATTCAAAGTTACAACTAGGTGTCTGGGTTTCCTTAATTATTGAATTGTTTCATTATAGGTGTAAACTAATTTTGCCTTCCGCTCAACTAAAATTGCTACTACTTTTAGGAGAAAATGTTGATGTGTTGAGCAATTTTACAGGTTTTTTTCAAGTTCAATGAGTTCTATTATTATTCTACATGTTCATGTGGAATTTAATTTAGAGAAGTGTACTTATCCGTGAAAATAGTGAAATTTAAAACCAGTGAATAATTTACGTGCTTACTGAAACAAATCCAGAAGAATCCCTATTCTAACACTCTTTCAAATATTGACTTTTTCCCTACTTAAAAGTTACGAATTGCAATTTATGTAATAAAGAACAAAACTTGTACAAGGCTTCAAAATGATCACTGAATATTTTGGTTAAATTGTAAAAACTTGCCTTGCTGTTTAAAATGAGAATATTTGTTTGTGCAAAAGCTTGGTGTAGCATTCAGTTGGCAATAATTTAATGGCAAAATATGAGGCCTGAAAACGTTCTTGTTTTCAATCAAATTGATCTCAATCATCTTTGACCTAATGTGTGAAAGTTCATTTAAGAAAGTGTCAATTCATAAACATACACAAATGTGCGAGGTTGGGGTTAAGATCAACAAGTGATTTGTAATCTACAACATACCACAAACAAGTAGTTTTCACCAAAGGCTTACTCAACCTGAGAGTCTGAATTAATATATGCATTTCTATTTATTACAGGCCGTGGAAATGGTTCCCGTGGCAACAATGGAGGTAGAGGACGTGGTGGGTTTTCCAAGCCGCCAAATCAACCATCTCCGGTATCTGCCTAGTGTCAATAAAACCCAACCTCTTATGCAATGACCAGGACCAGGAATTCTATGCTCTCCTATCCCTACAGGAATGAACATTGTCTATAGTTGTATTTCATTAGTAAATTAGTACTCTCAACAATCCAAACGAAACCAGATACCAGGATTTATAATGGCTGTCCAGGCCCTCAGCTTTTTTCCCGTCAAATTTGTTGATATTTTCACATGTATCTTTCGTAAATAGATTAACAAAAAATGGAGAATGCAATACTTTTTTTTCTCTCTCTCTAGTTATTACGTCATATTGAAATCTGTCACCATGACAGCAGTCTATTTACTTTAATTTTCTCACAATTTTTATAAAACTGGATTTAGAGATTTCATTTTGAGAAATTCCTTCTAATACAGTAGGTACTACTCAGTCTAATTGTTTTATACGCTTGTTTACAAATTTTCCGGGAAAGCAGAGGTGATAAATTCTGGTTGAATTTCGTCTGTAAGAAACTTGTGTAAATAGAAATAACTGGTGGAGTAGGATTCAGTTGATTCTAACCACCTTTGCCTATTTTACCAGACATTATGCAAATGATTAGTAATTTTATTTGTAGATCATTATAAGACCTTCTCTCCTATCATTTGTAAATTTGTATTTCACCCTTTCATAGCTGTGGTGGCTCCTTATAAAAAAAAAAAAGCTATAGTGTTATGACATTAGTGTTTGTGCTGTCAAAGTTTTAAGCTGTGGCAACCCAATTGAGCAGTAGTATAGTATCTGATAATGTTACGCAATTGACTTAGTTTCTTTTTCTTCCCATCCTGTACATGATGGGATTCCCTGGTGTGTTTAAGGTCTTTCTTTGTCCATGCTATGACTTCTATTGTGTAATTGTTTCACCAACATTGAAGCTTTTGTTAGTTTATAATGAGTGTACGGTAGTCTACTTGCTGCCAGTGACACTGCACAAAAATAGTGTTTTATTCACAACGCTTTGCACTTTATTGTAAATCATTGTGTGTTTTGACTTGTAGTACGTGTACCAACATGCACATTGTTCAGTCATTGTCTGTATACAGCATGACATTGCACGTCTGTTTCAAAGCAGTTTTGTCAGTTTCATACTCGCCTTGTAGGATTTCTAGTGTAGACAACATCCTTCATGCTAAGAACTATCGTTAGTTTGTAACATTATTTTCCATCCATATTATTTTTGGCCATAATCATAGAAAATCTGAGTTATTTGCACAACTGTGCATTTGAGCAGGATGTGCTGTATAGCCA